TTTTTTTTTTTTTTTGAGACAGGGGTTCTCTGTGGTTTTGGAGGCTGCCCGAGAACTAGCTTTTGTACCAGGCTGAGTGCTGGGACTAAAGGTGTGTGCCACCACCGCCTAGCAGTCACTGTGGTACCAGGAATGCCAAGTCCACCGGCTGTGTTCAGAGCCAAGGCTATAATGAGGTAGTGCAATGTAATATGGGCACGCCCCGCCACAAACACCTCATTTATTACATGTTGACTCTGAATTTGTTTCAGAAACACTTCACCTGTGTCAACTTTTTAAAGTCCTCACATCTAGTTATATGGACCTATACATGGTCACAATGCACACTTTAGGAAACTATGGCCCAAATGTTAGGAATTCAAAGACTCCCAAGAGGGTATTTTTACTAAGTTTAACATTTCAGAAGTACTATATGTTCATTTAAAAACAAAACAATTATCACCAGAGCTTGTAACAAATTAGACCCTAATTCCATTACCTCTACAGAGGAAAAGTAAAAATAAAAAAATTACTGTTTCTAGTGATTACTATTCCACATGTTTTTTTGTGCCTATACAGGACACTGAGATTTTTAAGGAAAAGGCAAATGTCAGTTTATGTTGTTAGAGAGGATAGAATACTGTGTGACAGAAAATTCAGAGTCAACAACATAAGCAACTGTGAAACTGGATTTGGAAAATTACTGTTTGACTGCTATGCTCTGCAGAGATCTGAAAGGGACGTGGTTTAGAGTTCAGAGTGGGGTGCTTGCAGGGGAACAGACACCACCACGGAAGGGGCACTTGCAGGGCTTTCTGTTTTCCCCAGAGATGCATCAGAAACATTTCCCTTTGGGAGCCCTGGATGCTGGCGTCTTTTGCTGTTTGTTTGAAACAAAGTCTATTTAGCTCAGATTGGTCTTGGATTTGTGATCCTTCTGCCCTTGGCTCTAAGTGCTAGAATTACAGTTGTGAGCAATCATACCCGGTGCTGTCAGTGCTCCTACAGCCTGAGACAATCAAGATTTCACCTGTGGTCTCAGGCAATATCAATTATCTGTTACAGACTGTTGGTCTTCAAACAAGGGACATAATACCACCTACCTTACAGAGTCACTTGAAAAACTCAGTGATAAATCAATGTATAGATTTATCAATTCAACACCTAATTCTCAGGGGGCAATTTCCTAGAGCAGGAAAGACAAACAATAGTGGCTCACAACCACAAATGAACGGGGATATGGCTGTAACAAGAATTTTCACCCCAACCTAAAAACCCAGTACTAGTTAAGAACACATCTAGCAGCCAGGTCTTGGTTCTTAATGTCCTCCAGTAAAAAGAACCAAGCTTCTTCAAGAAATGAATTCTAAGTTGGAGGCAGAAGATATATAAACCAAGCTTAAAATACCTTATAGGACTATACTGGTAGGAAATTGCTCAAATAAATGGAAGAAGACAATATTCTCTCTTTTCTAATGATAGAGGATATGGGGGTTCAGGAGAAAAGTAAAAGAGCTCCCAGTGACCAAAGATGGAACATGCAAGGGGGAAAACCAACAAAATAAAGCAGCATCACAGCCTAATGTACAACATAGGTATTCATAAGTAACAACAGAGAAAAGAGGCAGAATACAGGAAAGGTCCCAAACCATTTATGTTGGTAGACTTGGAGAGGGGAGTCTAACTCCCTACTCTTACCCATTTTCCTGTCTAGTGAGAAGAACATCAGACACTGAAGAGCAGAACATATAATACTGCACCAGGATCCCTCCAGACTTTTAAACTCACAACCAGAGAAGGTCTAAGAAAAAGCCCCAACCACAAGAAGCCTATGTTGACATAACTAAATCAATCCTGTTTCTTATGTACTACTTTCAAAATAATTCTTAGAAGTTTTCTAATAAAGATACTTTATTAAAAAAAATAAAATCAAAGCCAGGCAGTGGTATCCCATGTCTTTAATCCCAGCACTCAGGAGGCAAAGGCAGGTGGATCTCTGAGTTCAAGGCCAGCTTGGTGTACAGAGTAAGTTCTAGGATAGTCAAGGCTACACAGAGAAATGCTGTCTCGAAAAACAACAACAACAACAACAACAACAACAAACCCCGTAACAGATCACACACAACAGACACACAGACCCACATACACACACCCTACCTACCTATGGCAATGATGATGCTCAAATAGGAAAAAAATTAATCCTATGCGGTATTTTTTTTTTTAAACCCGTTATTTAGAACAACTGTGTAATCCCAGCACTTACTCTGGAGGAATCAAAATTTGAGGTCTGGTCTATGAAATAAGACCCTGTTTTGGCCTCAGTGCCCACAAAATCAACAACAAATGGGAATCAGAAAATTTGTCCTGTTCTTACCTATTCTTTTTTAATTTGGCTTCAGCTGATGGCATGTTTTCTAAGCAGCTGGGACAATAATGTGAGTCCACCTACGAGGAAATAAAAAAAAAATCAGAGGAAAAAAAATAAATTCATTATTAAAATATGCGATACCTCACCAGAAGGTAAGAAATTACTAATCTGGGAAAAAAAAGACAAAACACTTGGGCTGTTTCCAACTAAGCAATTACCTGTCTGTTTTGGTTTTTAATTTTTTTCTCTTTTAATCCTTTTCCTTTCTCATACTTTCTGTTCCCTATAATCAAGGTTTATGTGTCAAGCTGCATCAAGACTGTATCTGATATATCAAAGCTTCCAAATGAATAACTAACTCTATGGTCTAATGAATCGATTAGTAATGCAGATGTAAAGCTGTCATCAACAGCCTCCCATCTAGCTTTGCTTGATTTCACTACAATAACTCAGCAATACCTTTGTTAAGCAACATTAAGTTGGGTTGGAAGACATGGCTTGTGATTAAGGGCATTTGCTGCTCTTGCAGAGGAGTGGGTTAGATTTTTAGCACCTGCATGGTGGCTCACCCTTAGTTTTCTTCTGACCTCCATAGGCAGGAGGCATGTACATGGTGCACAGACATACATGTAGGCAAAACGTTCAACATTACATCTTCTAAAAACTAGACATTAAGATTTTTCATTAGTGATATACTTACTAAGTATATCTAAAAATTATAGCTAGCCAATTAGAGATCTGTTTCTTAAAACTTTTTGTATATGTATGTGTGTGAAGATCAGAGGTAATTCTCAGGTGCAACAAACACAAGCACTGTCCTGTGTGCCCTCCCCTCTTTGTTTATAAGAAAGTGTCTCTCACTGGCCTGGAGCTTACCAAGTAGATAAGGTTGGTTGGCCTGCAATAGGATTTCGTGCCACTGAGCCTAGCTTATATATATGTGTGCTTGAGGATCCTGAAGATTGAACATGCCTTCATGTTTGTAAGCATTTTACCAACTGAGCTATCACCTCAGCCCCCAATGAAAGATTTTCATTTATTTATCTTACATTTGTTTTGTGTCCATGTGATAAGGTAGCTGGCCTGGCAAGTAGGTACCACAGCTCATCTCATGGGGGGATGCCAAGGATAGCTCCCAGGAAGGATAGCTTTCTCCTTCCACCAAGTAGGTCCTGGACCCAACTCAGACTGTTAGGCTTGGCAGCAAGAGCCTTTACCCACTGAGCCATCTCTTCAGTTCCCCAGTCATAGACTTTTTAAATAACAAACAGAACAACACAATAATCTTATCGTGTTTTACTCAAAACACAGTCAAAACATTAGATCTACTCTTTTAAGTATAGATCTCATAAAAAGTATTTTATGCAATAAGTAGATTTTATTTGATAATTATACAATTCTAGCTATCACACAAAGCACTAATGCAAAATTCAAGAAAATCATTATGACATAAATATGTAAGTATGTATAAACAGGGACTGGATTTCTTATATTCTTTGGTTTAACCATTCTTAATATTTTGGAAAATATGCCCAATAATATAAATATAATGTGTAAAATGGCTAACTCTACAGGACATGTTTTCACATGCATTTTTCCAGGGATCTTAGTTTGTTCTCATTCGGATCTTCATTCCCACCTCTAAACGATGCTGTGACCTACAGGAAACATTTTGTGTTTGCTTCTTAACCTGTACATTTGGGGGTGGGGTGTGAGCCTTGAGAAAGCATTTCATACTATAGTCGGACTGCCCTAGAAATTACTTTACAGCCCATGCTTGCTTTGAACTTACAGTATTCCTTTTGCTTCAGTTTCCCTGGTGTTAGGATTAGAGGCCTGAGTCACTGCAATACAGTGTTTTTATTTTTTCTTTTTTCTTCTTCTTCTTGCAACAACATGCACCTTCAACAGCTGGACATAGTGGAATTCATTTAGAATTCTGGCACTTGGAGGTGAAGCCAGGAGTTAAAGGCCATCACTGGCTACACAGTAAGCCTGGGGCTAGATTGGGCTACATGAGACCCTAACTCAACAACCCCCACTCCCATCTAAAACCTCCCAAACCCAAACCTCCACCTTCATTAGCTGTAACGATTATGCAAAGCTTTTGCCACACAGTTAAATACACAATAAACGCAACCATCATTTTAATGAGCTTTTCCACCAGACTGTGAGACTCCCAACAGCAGATAAAGAACTTCTGTTAAAAGCTGCAAAAGGTTCGGGACTTGTTTATTAGGGGCCTTATTTTTAAACTGAAAAATTCTAGACCAATGTCTACCTGGGGCCATGAATAGAACTCTGAGCTTCTTTTACCACAGACTACTCTGTGTGTTTGCTACTTAAATCAACCTATCTCAGTCTTCTTGCTTCAGTCCGTGGCCTAGCTCAGGAAACCGGGTCAGTTCTTTCTTTGGACAGGGCCCGGGTTCTGATTAAAGGAGGGTCAGGACTTGCCAGAAGGGAGGGCCACGAGCGAGAATGGCTGCCCGCTCCTTCCACCACTAACGATGAGAAAACAGTTTCCTCTGCCTTTAGAGACTTGAGCTAGACAGCCCCCGATCTATCTCCCAGCCCTCAAGTCCCAAGTCCCACAGGGAACCGCAGGGTCCAGGACAAATCTATCCAGCTACAGGCAGCTCTAGAACAAGAGAATCTGCTCAGCCCCACCCGGGGCCGCCCCTTTTCCAAGTGACTATTTACAAGCAAATGAAAACGCAAACCCAGATGAATGATGGGGGATTCGGCCAATCAGAAAGCTAGACACAAG